CGTCTCCGACACGAACCGGCACTTCAGGCACCGGTACCACTCGTGCACATACATCATGTGTTCAGACATTTGCTCGTAACTCCCAAATACTCGCTGGCAATGAGTGGCCAAACATTTATACTCTTCGGCACCGGTATTACCGCTTAATGTAAGCGACGACTGAGACTCAATCACTTTTGTGGGACTCTTACGGGAGGGATGAGTAGATGGCAGACATCGGTGTCTCATATAATGGTCTCTCAATGAGAAGGTTCGGTGACACTGAAGACATTTAAACTCCGACTTTGAGGGCCCGGTGTGTTCGGACTCCATGTGCTTATGTCTCTCAATGGGTGTCGCGAACCGTTCACTACATGTCCGACACGGGTATGGCTTTCGTCGCAATTCACTCATTGAAATGACAATCTTCTTCGGGTTCTTTGTCTTCGGTGGTGCCATAGAAGCCGAGGAATGGCTTTTAGTACCATTACTAACGGTGTCACCATTTATGCGCAACCGTTGCAGCGATTGTCTGTTTTCGTGATTTGGTCTCATCTGTTGAGCCATCGACGGGCGATAATCATTATCATTGACTTTCATCTGATCCGCGGGTTTTATTTCTTTGATTTCAATGATAATGCAATTGTTTTCGTCATTCAATGGCTTTTTATCGAAAATTAATTTATTGTTATTTTCCGGCGTTTCTTGAGATTTGTCTGAAAAGTGATAAAAAGGATTATTCGTTGCACTCGCTCTCTCTCTCTCGCTCTCTCTCTCGCTCTCTCTCTCTCTCTCGCTCTCTCTCTCGCTCTCTCTCTCTCTCTCTCTCGACAATACCTGTAATTAAATCAAAAATATGGTGTCTTTTATCATCACTCAATGGCAGATCAATTGACGGTAAAACCGGTGAACCATTTGCTGTTTGTGTGGGCGTTGACTGCAAATCAGTATTACTTTGATTGCCATAAGTCTCTGAAATCAATACAAAAATCAATTGAATTCACAGTTTATTAACGCATTTAAAAAGCGGATCATAATTACCACTGTTTGCATCAGTTGTTCCCATATTGTGATCACTTGTAGTGCTATTAATCTCGTTATTCATTGCATCCTTACTTTGTTGAGTATCCATAATAGCATCGGTGGTACTGTTGGTGACATTGTGTCCGATAATTGTGTTGTAGTTATGATTGAATGTATGAATGGTTTGTATTAAGTGTTGATTTTCATCGCATTTACAGTTTTGTATCAAAACTAATGCATTGTTTCTAATGTTATTCAAAATACACAAAAATTGTCTCTCAATTTGTATTACATTTAAAAGTCTCTT